TTCTTTCTGCCTCTTCTGATTGATCTTTGCTCTAATTCTAAGCCAAAAAAAAAAAAAAAAGTAAGGAAGAAGTTAAAGTTGAGCTATCGAATTGAATTGAAGCATTTATCAATGCTTAAAGTAGAGAAATCAAACCATAGTCCTTTAAACAGCATAGCATCTTTTATTTCATAGAGATCTGTCACTACCCAATCCTAAAAAATTTTCAACAAATATCAGGAAAAATAAATATCAAGAAAAGAACTAGTGTTGCAAGAAAGCAATAGTATGGCATTTGATTCAACAAAATTAGCAGAAGTAATCTTAGGTTAACATTTCAGAAAAAGGTCTTAAACAATTTCCAAATAATAAAATCAAATGATAACCTAAAGCTGCATTAGGAAGGACTGTGATGTGGCTATCCTGCATGGTTTTTACACTTCCAAAATCAGCAATTCTAATATGCCCATCAACAGTAATTAGTAGCATGTTCTTTGGCTACACCATTTACAAAAATTTTTAGCACTTTTTAGATGGCAACTTTAAACAACATGTGATGGTAGGCAAGATTGCAGTAGTTTTCATACTGTAAAAATAAAATTGGGAGTGACAAGGATTGAAAACATTTTGGTTTTTACTTGGATAATGTCTCAAGAATTGGATGAATAAACTTCTGTAGTTTGTTTCCTCTAATGCAGGGAACAATAATATCAAAGTGCCAATTTCAAAGTAACTATAAATTCATCGACAAATCAGAGAACTCAAACGCTACAAAACTCAACTTTTATATATTTTAATGGATTGGAAGAAATTGAATGAAATCATATGATTGTCTTAATCAACAACGGATTTGGGGATAGAAAATATACCTAAAATCAAACCCACTTTGCTTCTCCTATTTGATTTTCACCTCAAGGAATCCCCACCTTCGCATACATGAGCTTTACTCCATTTTCCTTTCTCCAGTAGCTTGGAGATATGGTCAAAAGAACAAAAAACAATCCTCTAGTGATTACCATCCACAGAGGACCAGATATAAAAAGTTACACCTTGTCCTTTCCTTTACTGTTTCAGAGCCCATTCTTTAGTCTCTCCAATAGCTATTGCATCACCATCAGTGAGGTAGTGCTTGAAAATCGAGGACAGGACCTCGTACGTCTACAGCAGTGATGGAGGCAATTTAATTTGGGGGAGAGGATATTATGCGAGAAATAGAGAATTTGTATTGGCCCAAAAAATATTAAAAGTTGAAAACGAAATCAATTGGCTAATTGAATTGGGGTAAGACTTGGAAACATCAATCAAATACAATGATCAACAAATTTTCATTTTTATGTTCTAAATCAAACTAACGAATTTGAGTAAGATTTCTTTGACAAGCTATTTAAATGCAAGATCTTGACTGCATGAGTAAATCCGCCATGGGAGCAACTACGGAGAGTCGGTGATGGTGCCGATGAAAGGGTAAAAGCCAAAGCAGAGAGATTGGGACAGTGTGGACTGTGGAGTGCTTGGCAAGATTCTTCTTCGGAGAGGTTTTCAGCGATTACTGGAACCAAATAAGTTTTAGGCAGTTATTATTGTGAAAGCAAAGCACCATGAAACGTCCAGATTGACATCGTTTTGGGCCACCCATCCCCATTTAATCCATCTTGGAAGCACTGTTATTAGATTGATGATTGATTGATAAGGATTGATTATTGCAATATAATTCTTAATTGATTACTTATCTATAAAAGATGAGCAATAATCCCGATTGATGATTTCTTTATTATTATTATTTTTTTATGAGATAATGTTCAATATTATAACCATTTGTATATATTTGAAGAGCACTTTTTTTTTTTTAAAGGGAGAGGATTTTTTTATTTATTTTTATTTTTTCTATCAGCAAAATAGGAATTGAATTTTTTTTTCTAAAGAGAGCTAGACACCCAAATTTGAGGTGGATTCACTGTTTCATTACTACATTTCATTTGAGAATATCCAATTGTCTATTACCATTAGTACAAAACAGAATACATAAAATATAAACTAAAAATTCCATTAAGAAAAATACACACTAAAAATTACATTGCATTAGAAACACCATACAATGCAGGGATATGCTACCTAGTCCAAAACAAATAAATACAAAGTTCATAAAGGGAGGAATAAATTACTTAGTATCAATTGTAAAATACTGTGAACCAAAATAAGTAAAGCAAATATTTTAGAAAAAATAGCCCATTGCTTGCCAAACTAATTATGAATGTAAAACACACGCCATCTAGGCCACCACCGCTGGTAGTAACAATTCACTTCCTTGTAGGGGTCAGCATAATGGTTGCAATTGATATAAGTGTTATTGTAAAAGTTGTTGAAGAACTTAGTTGCATCCTCTGGATTCAACGAATTGCAAATAATGCCATTTTTGCATAGCATGTCCATGTCTTCAACTGTGTTGATGAGATTGTCCATGAGTTTGGCATAAGATGTGACTATAGGAGCACAACCACGTTAACACTGCTCAAAAGCAATGAGGTTTCGAAAGATGGTTTATGTGGAGTTATGGATTAACAGAGATGGAACTTGAAGAACACCTTCATGAAATTTTATATCCAACCTTAATTTGCCTCTATTGAATTTCACACCAACCTCTATGAGTTTGTTGGTAAAGGGAACCTGCATCTCCAGTTTCGGTATCTATGCATGCCTTTGGTGCTATCAACAGTTTTTGTAAAAACTTCAATAGGAGCGAAGTCAACGAACACAGATACTTTACCAAATAGTTCCACAGGGGCAGACATTGATGCATCCATAAATGCTCTCATAATTGCACCAAAAAGGGGAAAAAGTAGATACTTCCATGGGCGCAAAAGCATATGCTTCCACAAGGGCAAAAGCAAATTACGAAGCATACTTAGTAGTAGATAGGAAGATTGCACTTTCTTCTCATCTCTTAAGTGAAGAGGATCAAATCATAAAAAATGATTTGATCCTATCATAAAAGGAAGAAAGAAAATGATCAAATCGTGTAACGATTGATCCAACTATAGAAGGAAAGAATATCATGTCATTATAAAGATTGAATCAACTAAAGAGAAATCAATTTACCAATTGATTGATTTCAAAATTTTGATATTAATTGTATTCTCATTAATAGAAGATTTCTAATTAATTGTTATTTTCTTATATTATATATCTCTTTAAAAAAATAATGAAAGAAAATAAATGTACAAAATCCACAAAAATTTTTGTACTGTGGACAAGAGGCCTTCATGCATCCTAATATCTTGACACTATCCCGAATCACATGCTGTGTCATTTCTACTATTGGAATTTCCCTCGTTATATTAGAAACTTCTTCATTAAGAATGATAGAAACAAACGCTTTCTTAACAGATCCAGAATATGCTCAATTCTTTCTGTTTCAAGAAGTGTATGAGGTATAGGAAGTCCATCATGTGAGAACATGTCCTGAAGAAACGGATGGCAAGTTCACGAAGCTTTAGCTTGTTATCACCCCCGAAAAAGCAGACCAGATAAGAGTTCCAGCACAAACCAAGGAATTTGATTTTCCGGCTAAATCAAGTCATAATGATACAAGCACTGAAGCAGATAGGCTGTGTGAATGTTAGTTTCACATACACCTGAACATTTTTTATGATCTTAATGTAATCGTTTGGCATGGCATGCATGGAGAACAATTTAATGATAAAGCAACCATCAAGCACCAAAATTTTCACAAAATTTGCATCATCGTCTAGTACTGTTGGAGCTGTGGTGTCAAAGCTGCACAAGAGGCAGCAAATGGAAGGAAAGCTGCACAGGAGGCAGCAAATGAAGAAGGAAGGCTGCACCAAAGCACGGTAGCAGCAAAGTGCAGCAAACTATGCTGCAAATGTTGATGAAATGAGGCTGCAATGAAATGCAAATGAGGCTGCAAAATAGCCGCAAGTACAGCCACATGAAGCTGCACAAGTGGCAGAAAATGAAAGGAAATGAAGCTGCACAAGTGGCAGCAAGTCTTTTAATGTAATCTTGCATTAAATGTATTGGATAAGTATGAAAATTACTGTTGATGTACTGAGTTTTCTGCTATATAATAGCAGAACATGAATGAAGAAAAGTGGAGTTCTCACCTCAACAAAGAGGGAACCTCCGGTTGGCTCTCTTGCTCCTCCAAGTCCTTTCTCAATTCTCCAACAAGTACTTCAACCTGTTTGACATAACATTGACGAGCCTTCATCCGCTTCTCATGGACTGCTCTCTTCAACTCTTAACTTTGTCCTTTGATCCTTGTAACCATGAAGTGAGTCTTGAAGAAAACTGAATTTGATTGCTTGTGCGGCTTCTAGGTCAGGTTTAACATGGTGCAATGGCCCGACAGAAAATGCGTTTGGAAAATAAGCCATCTTACCATGCCTATAGATTGTCATTGGGATTTCAAAGATGCAAGGCTTGCCAGTTGTTTACCGGTGACTCGTATGAAGCTAACAGGCCCGCATATGACCATTCGCTTCCACAATTTCTCCCATCCCTCTTGTTTGTATTTCTCTTTTCTTTTCTTTTCTTCCTAATAGGAAGACAAAATAAATTAAGAAACCTTGTTATTGTCATATACAATCACTTATTGTAAACAAGTTAATTTATCAAATAAAATCTACAAAAGAATTTTAATAAAATGAAACGGGGATCAATTTTTTTTTAGGTGCATTGTCCAACTTGAAATAGAACTCAATAACAAAAAAGAATTAGTAATAAAACGAGAAAAATTAAGAACTCATAGAACCGATGAAAAAGTGTACCTCGAGTGCTTGCTGTTGAGGCCAGTGAGTTAATCTTAGGTTAGAGAACTTATATATAAGAAGAAAGAAGACTTCAAGTTTAACTTATTTGAAATAACTTCACTTTCTAAAAGCTTCACTCTTTCCAATAGAGAAATCTTATTTTATCATGCATTTAACAGCTGAACATGGTATCCCAACCCAATCAAACAATGTCTTGCAGGGCATAACCTACAACGTGGTGCGTAATATGATGAAAGAAGATAGATGGGCTCAGACTTTAAGTACAGTGAATAAGTACACCCCCTAATAAAACTTTTCACTGACTAAATATGTGTAAATTCTAAGGAATTTAGTAATAATTTAAATTATAAGTAAAATAAATAAAAAAATAAAAAATTACCTCGAATAATTCAAAATTAAAAAAGAAACCCCAATATACTTGGCGAGTTCAGCTTACCAATGTGTCACAAAAAATTGCACCTAGTGCTAGACTGCTAGTACTACCAAAATACTAGTCCATACTGTGGGGTTGGAGGAAAATGAAAGGGGAAAAGGGGGCGTGGAATGGTGGAAGGGTTTAATAAAGTAAGGTTAAATACTAATTTTGGTCTCTCAACTTTATAGTATTGTATAATTTTCATCCCTCAATTATTTTTTGTAATTTTTTGATCCCTCAACTCTAGAAACTGTATAATTTTGATCTTTCTATCTGTTAAGTATGATGTGGCCATTAAATAATTTCGTAATGGCATTTTCTTTTAATTTTTTAATGATGTGGCAATGACATATCTTGCCATTTAGGTTACATTGGATAAATAAAAATACCACATTAGATGAATATTTATATTTTTAATAAAAAGAAATAAGAAAACCTCTCGATCTATCTTCTTCCCCCTATTTCTTTCTCTTTCTTCCTCTTTCTTGTTGTTGGGTTCGGTACCACACCTAGCAGAGTTGGGATCCACCGAACCCAGTTGCTAGGTTCGATGGAACCCATTTCTGCTTTGTGTTCTGTCGAACTCAAATCTACTTTGGGTTCATTAGAACCCAACTATGATGGGTTTGATGAAACCCAAGGCAGATTTGGGTTCGATAGAACCCAGCAGTTGGGTTCGATAGAACCCAGCAGTTGGGTTCCACTGATATGAAGAAAAAAAAAAAACCAATAAGCTAAGTCGACAATTCAAGAGTTAAGGTGTCAAGCTGAATTGATGAATAGACATTCTGAGTTGTGTAGGACAAATAGCAATCACAAACTCATTATGTTATTTCCTTTAATTTTTCTTGCATTTTTCCGTTGGGTTATTTTGTTTTGTAACCAAGAATCATACAGCACCAATATATGTATGTTGTGATTCCTCATTGTGGATATGAGAATATTCTGGTTTCTTCTTTCTTGAACCTTTTGTATCTCTCATTTCTCTTTGTAATCTAGATTTATTAAGGAATACATATCGAGGATTTTCTTTTATAGATCTTCCTTGTTGTTTCTCATTTATATTTCTTTGGTATCATCCATCAAACCCAACAATTGGGTTTCATGGAACCCAAAGCAAATCTAGGTTTCAGCGAACCTAGTTGTTGGGTTCCATTCCATTGAACCCAGCAACAGGAAAGAGAAGAAAGAGGAAGAAAGAGAAAGAAAAAGGGGGAAGAAGAGGGATTGAGAGGGAGAGGGGTAATAACGTCACTTTCTTGTTTTTTTTATTTTTTTTAATTAAAAATATAAGTATTCATCTTCTGTGACATTTTTATTTATCCATGTGACCTAATTACAAAATATGTCATTGCCATGTCATTAAAAGAATTAAAAGAAAATGCTATTATGGAATTATTTAACGGTTACATTATATTTAACTGATAGAAGATCAAACCTGCACAGTTTTTAGAGTTAAGGATCAAAAAAATACAAAAAATAGTTAAGGGATGAAAATTGTGCAATACTATAAAGTTGAGGGACCAAAAATTAGTATTTAACCATAAAGTATCTACACTTCCTTAAAAAAAAAAAAGAAAAGAAAAAAGAAAAAGGAAAAAAAGAGGTAACTACACTTCCCAAAAGCTTTTCAACGTACTCCCAATAGTACCTGGCAGGGTCGTGCCAATGTTCGCAAAAATTTCATCTTCCTGTGAGTAATGCTCGAACAAAACGAATGGAACCTCCGTGATAAGACTTGAATTAACTTTAATTGATGTTAAGGGGTTTCTTTTAATAGCATGAGCTTTTGCCTTCTTAGGTTTATATTAATAATATTAATAATACAAAAAAATATATTTTTTTATAATAAATACATATAAAAAAATGAACCTAACCGAGAAGACTTGGATTGACTTAATTAGTGTTAAATAGTGTTTTTTATTTAACCCTTAAACAGTATAATAAATATATTTTTTATTATAAATTTATATAAAAAATTATATTAATTTTAACACTTGTGTCGTGTAAGTAAATTTAATTTAATAATAAATTAATTAAAAATTAATTTTTATTTTTTAATATAAATTTACAAAAAAAAAATATTTATTTAGAGTATTTCAATAATTTAACAAAAAATTTAACATTAAAATGTCAAGACATCTTGAGTGCTACTTTTCTCATATATTAATTAAGGTTTTTATTGGAAGATGAGAATTCTGGTTGATCTTCTCCTTATCTGAATTATT